TATGACCAGAATAAAGAATAGTAACAATATTAGCAGGTAAAGTGACTAGTATTATATTAGATGATTGGATATGTAGTAATGCAGTAATAATTATAACAGGTAAAGTGACTAAGGGTGTATTCAGACCTGCACATTTGCTCCACTTTAAACGGACCAGGATTCGTTTGGAACTCTGATCCGAAGCTTTTACGCAGGTCTGAATACACACAAACGAATCCTGGTCCGGACCAAAGAACCGAACCGAGACCCACTTTTTGAGGTGGTCTGGGTCCGCTTCCAAACGAATTCTGGTCCAAGTCGAATCAGGTCTGAATACATCCGGTGTTGATCCGACACAACTCCAAGATACGTGTGCATTTTTTGGGCTTAACAAGCCGCAGACAGAAACTGAGGAATTAGCCATGCAGCGGCTAACTATGATGCTAACTATGCTGCTAACTATGATGCTAACTATGCTGCTAACTATGATGCTAACTATGCTGCTAACGCTACACAACAACACTGAGCCGTGTGCAGACTGGAGCAGTGAGGAGACGCTGTGCAACAGGCTTATGGAGTTACAACTGTTCACAGTTTACAGAGATGAATGGCAGCATCTTCAAACCATTCGCATTATTAAAAGCCTGACGTGTTTGACTCACGTCTCAAAGAGCAATATTCTGCATCATGTAGTGAATTGTGTTCTTTGGTTCCTACCTGATCCTCAGCGTCTGTTTGTCCCGTGGTTATTATAGATCCATGGTTTATCCACAATGCTGAACAGGGCCGTTATTATCATAGATCCATGTGTGGGACAGGGCACGGAGCGCACAGACAGTCTCCTTCGGTTTTCTCCTCACACATTCTCCGACGCTGTTCCAATATTTAAAATAACGTGTTTCGCCTGCGCCATATGAGCTGCTGTTGATGATGTTGAAGGTGGTTTTGCTCTAAAAACAGCAAACAGAGGCAGAGCAGACATGCTGCACATACGAGCCCGCAATGTTTTCCTCTGGTTCCGCGTCTATCCTCCGTGAGCTCTCTCTGTCCAATAGGAGCCGATCGTCACACGTGTCAATATGTTTATATAAAAAAGTTCACTTGCAAAAAGGACAGTCTGAATATGAACCGGAGCAAAAGAAAAAAGTTTGATCCGCTTTTGATTCGGATCAAGCAAGCGGAGCAAAGGACTTTTCAGGTCTGAATACACCCTAAGTGAATCATTGTCAGTGACTCTTGTTCAATAAATATCTAAACGTACTTCATGTCTGACTGACAGCTGTATTGATCACTAAAATTGCATCGACTTGCAGTTTGTTTAATTGCAAGCAGCTTCTAAGCTACTTTTGACAGGATTTTGTAACTTAGCTTGCTACATGAAGAGAACCTGAATTTATTGTAGAGTAAAGTAGAGCTTGTTGTCTAGCTCACTACACAAATCAGGAAGCTTGCCCGTCACTGACACCAAGTAGACTGTAATAAAACAGTTTTCTAGGCCATGGCTTACATATGGGTCAGATGAAGAAGGTGAAAAAACGGCTCACAAGTCACACAAGTGACAACACTTTGCATGATAACGTAAGAAGCCCTGTAAAAAGCGCATTAAAAAAGGGCAAGAACATCTCTAAATATCAAAGTTTAGCCTTTTACACAGACTGCTCTTTCTTTTATAAAGTTGCCCCGGTGAAAAAATGTATCACTGCATGTGGACAAAATGTTGCTGTGTTCCAATGTAATGAGATTCCCTGAAGTTCTGGGTGAACTGCGTTTGGACTTTAGACGGATGATATTGAAAGTCAGAAGCTTTTTTTTTTCCACCTTCTTGTCTTCCTCATGGTAAAAAACAAACACTTAATCTTTGCTTTGACAAAAAGTAAAAAGATAATAATAGAAATATAACTATGAAAGGTAATATCACATTATCTTCGAATTGATTTTCTTGACCACAAGTTTTATGATATCGTCCTGACATGACATGACATGACATGTGTTTGTTAATATATATGTTTTATCTATTTACTAAAATGAACAGGCAATAGCTGAAGACTATAGTGAAGATGACTGATATAACCACTGTTTTCTCATGCATGGGACCATGAAAGATAAGTTTGGTTCTCCATAGCAAACAGAAAATGAATGCCAAAACCATTTGTATGTGTTCCTGCATAGGGGCAGCTTTCTGTGGTACTAAAAATGTAATAATATATATAATAAAACCCTGTGAGGCGAAAAACATTGTGTGTTATTCATCCTGCCTGAATAGCTTTTCAAAGGATTTTTATTCAATACAACTCTCAAAACAACACAAAAACCCCTTCGTCTAAAGATGCCTCCTTGTCCGAGACTGCAGAGTGCTCATATTGCGTTTGAGATGCCACTGATGAGCTCTGCAAGTCATTTCCTTTAGCACAAAGAGGACACATCCCGACATGCGACTCCAGACTCCATATCTTATCTTAGCCGGCCTCTTCTACGCCTAATAATCTTTGTTCTGAGGGCTCATAAATCAAGACTATGTCAGCCTAACAGATACAAGGAGATTAAAACAATGTATGATTAAAAATGGGCTCAGATCATCAGCAGTGTATTCAATTAAATAAACCCGTCAAGGCTGAGGAGTGGAGGACAGGCCTGAGCGGTTTTGGGTGGAGATGGATGCAGAGGACGGTAATGGAGTGCAGTTAAAACAGTGTGGCTCAGGGTTAGGCAGCAGCTGTGGCAGTGACTCCAGGGCCACTGACTTTGACGACCACACACGCGCCCCAAAGACACACAGAACCGTTGAAGTACCTGAAGTTTAACAAAAATTCGAAAAGCTAAGATAGTATTTCTTTATATGCTCACGATTGACTTACAGCTGGAGTATCTAGCTTTAAACCACAAAATACGGAACCGTGCAATTAAATTCATATAACGACATAGTTCATCACTCTCGACATTTTTGGTTCTACATGTATTTTTGTCCTTTGCCTCTTGTACTACCAATTATATTACTACTACAACTGATGAAAGAACCAAAATCCCAGGCAAATGCTGACTCACGGTTCTTGTTCTTGCAAGTGTTAGATGATGAAGACAGCGTGTTGTGGTTTGATTAGTTTGCAACATTTTACTCTAAAAAAAACTATTTATGTTGGATCCTTCATATAACAAATAAAGAATTTAAGTTTTCCAGCTTTCATTGATATTCATTTTGTGAAAGTGAATAATAAAACATTTGTTTCAATATTCTCCCCTCCCTAAATTGATCAAAAAACAAGTTTAACAGGGCATGGTCTGTATAAATATGGGACAAAGCCTGACACAAAGCAAGGTTTTTGGGTAAATCCGCTGAGACACAGGGCTCTATAATACATCTGTTTTTACACGGTTGTCTGACTAGGAGATACAAAGACAAATCTTAAAGACATTATTGATGTGAGGGCTGACTCTTTTTTTTTTTTTTTTGGACAATATGTGTCTCTTGGGAATATTCTTAATATGCTCAACCATACATCACACAATTTTGAGATTAGAGTTCATACTGTTAAAATGGTCTAAGAGGAAACCAATATAATAGTTAGTGGCACAATGTTGCTGTTATTTTATAAAACACTTATAAAACACATTTAAATTATCGCAAGCCACAGTGCTGTGTATTCACAAATGTATACAAAACATGCTGGGAGTTAAGAATTAATAATAGCTCCCTGGACACAAAGGTTACAATATAAACTGTATGGTGCCTCCAGAGAAGGGTGTGTGGCACTTTTCGGCCTTGTAAAATTAAGCTTTAACTGCCCTCTGGTGGATAATCTGTCTAGTGCAGAACAGCGTGTTGACCATCATCTGGCAATTTGGAAGGATTCTCTATTTTATACTCGTTTTTGACAGAAAGACGTTGTTTAGATTTAAATAATAGTTTTAGACTTTGTGAAAAAATGTGTGCGAAAAAATGAAAAGTGGAGCAGTATTCTAGAACTGAAGACTTCACAAGGAGTTTCACATTTTCTAATAAAGGTTTACATAATTTACTTTTTTTTTTAAATATGTCAGAGCATGTCACTTTTAGTATCTGCTCTGAAGCAAGGGCGATGTGAAAGTTCATAAAGGAAAAATTGAAGAGAGTTTGTGAATTTGTTAAGCTTTGTGGGGCGACTTACCGGTGGGCTCTGGTTTCCACTAAAAAGAATGTACCATAGGTCTGGCAATTCCCCTACATGAGGAACCCGTGCCCATCTCTGAATGGAGAGACAATTGTCATTTTCACATTGTGAAAGGCGCTATATAAATTAATATACTTACGTACAAGGCTTTTAGACCTTTCCAGAAGGTCTAAAACCCTTGTTTTAGACCTTCTGTCCATTCCTCCATAGATGTAGCCAGGGCCAGAACACAACTTTTTCCCGTTCGTTTGAACATTGCGTCCACCAGCAAACCGGTTAGTTCGTTTTCTCATCATTAGTCGGTATGTACCGTACTCCTTGCTGACATTAAACAAACATAATTATTCAATCACCTGCAAGAAATGCAAACCACGGACTATGTACTTTCTGAGCATGTTTTCAACCCAAAACATGCCACCTAGCTAGCTCTGCGTAGGTGGCTCCTACGTTTTGTCACTGCCCCGAGTGCACCGATCACCACGGGCACTACTGTCACCTTTACCCTCCAGGTCCTCTCCAGCTCCTCTCTGAGCCCTTGGTATTTCTCAAGCTTTTCGTGTTCTTTTTTCCTGATGTTACCATCGCTTGGAATTGCCACGTCCACTTTCTTCGACTTTCTTCTGCCCTTTGTCTACCACCACAATGTCAGGTTGGTTCATTACCATTCGGTCGGTCTGTATCTGGAAGTCCCACAGGATCTTTGCCCGCTCATTCTCCACCACCTTTGGAGGAGTTTCCCACTTAGAACTTGGGGTTTCCAGCCCATACTCTGCACAGATGTTTCTGTACACTATGGTCAGCCACTTCCATGTAGGCCTTCCCTGCCAGCATCTTGCACCCTGCAGTTATGTGTTGGATGCACATACAGTACAGTCCTTACTTCCTGGTGTGCACAGTCTTGGTGAGGTTCCATAGTTTGATGGTGGGGTCTTCGGACACAGACAGCAGGGAGGGGTCTGTCAGGCGGAAGAGCTCAGTTTTTCTGAACGAAGACTCTTTACTGGACTGGAGCTGCACAACGCCCCAACAGATTTTGAACAACAACAAAAAACCTGGAAATACATCATCATCTATTAGTCACAATAGAACTCTAGGATCTTACGTCATATCCGTAGTCCGGTTCGTCGTTGGTCACTGTGAGGTCGGCGAGGTCGCCCAGACCCAGGACACTCTCCAGGTCGGTCTCCCCTCGCAACAGGAAGGACTTTCCCCCAGAGGACAGGAAGGACAGGGGCTCCAATACACACAGACACATGTGAGTATGGACAGGGAAAGACGGGACAGGCCTACTTGTGTCTACAGCCTCGGGCGATCCAGGGACTACAGCCTGGGTCCTGAGACTACAGCCTATGTCCTGGGACTACAGCCTCGGTATTGGATCCACAGCTCCTCACCCCACCCGGTCCCGTCCCCGGAGCTCCGTGCTTCTCCTGCTCCTTCTCCGTCTTCTGTGACCAGGAAGTCGAAGTCCTTCAGCGCCTCCTCTGTGTCTGCAAGGCCCTCGTGGCTGGCCTAAAACACACAGCAGGGGGACTTAACGCTGGAAGCCTGGATCTACAGTGCTCATTATATAGGCCAGAGATGTACAAACCGGTCCAGAAAGGGCCGCTGTGGCTGCAGGTTTTCTATCAGACCCAGCAGGTGCAGAGCAGACTCCTCCCATTTCCTCAAATCTTCAGGTTAAGACTGAGCTTACTTGAGGAAATGGGTGGAGTCTGCTCTGCTCCTGCTGGGTCTGACAGAAAACCTTCAGCCACAGTGGCCCTTTCTGGACCGGTTTGGTCACCTCTATAGCATGTGAATCTCTGATCAGTAGTTGGAGAATTGACAACTTTGTAAAGTCCTCCGAGACGACTGCTGTGATTTAGAGCGATACACAAATACATTGAATTGAATGTTGTTCCTATGTCTAGTCCTTCACGGGCTTTCTGTCTGGACTCAAATGAGTGCAACTAAAACAATACATTTTCTGTCTCATCAGAGTCTTATAAAAGTACATGCTGTCTCATTAAAAAAAACCTTACATTTGTATACTTGTAAGAAAGAGCCGTGTGAGTCACTATTTGACTCTTTGGACTGAAAACTGATTGGCTGAGTGAGGCTGGTCCTCTGTTTCACTTTTGTGTCTGAAAAAGCTCATCTGTGTCTTCGTGTCTTCGTCGCTGTCTCTAGAACGTCACCAGGACTCCTGTCTAACCATGACTAGTACTTTAGCAGTGACTGTACATTTTCAAATCTGGCTGAAGATGGAAGAAGATGGAATAAAAACTAGACAAGAACAAATAGTGACTGCATAAGAATACGCAGCCTCTCAATGATACATCGTTCTATCCAGAGGGGTCCCTTGCCATTAGACAAGGCAGGCAGCTGCCTGGGGCGCCCAAACTGGCAGGGGGCCCCCGAGGGCCGACTGATTTGACACAAGCGGTCAACTTGTACAGGTTACAACAGCTACCTGCAGTGACAAGTTGGCGGGAAAAAACATTTCGTCTGATGCAAAACTTGCCACTTTTTTCATTGCATTTAAAAGCCCCGTCTGGGTTTAGTTGCAGCGCTTGCAACGGCCCAGGTTAGAATCCGGGTGAGAGCAGTTTTGGATTGAACTATATACATTATATTCAATAACAGATTGCTCAAGAACGGTAAAAGGAAAAAACAAGCCGTTTTTTGCAGATTAAAGCTAAGAGCTAAGATTTTGTAGGATTAATACACTTTGATGGGTAGTTTTTGTAATTAATTATAACTTATGAGTGTCCCAACACTTTCGTGCAAATGTAGTGAACAAGTTTATAAAAAGACATGCAAAATAATTTCTCATTTCTTTGTGTCATGATAAGTACTTAAGATTTTACATGATTTGGCCCCCCCACCAATGAGTGAGTTCATCAAGCAGAAATCTGTTAGTGGCGCTGCTCGCCTGACTCAAGCGACAGTCAGAGGAGACTGTGATCCCCTGAAGGACAGCCTGAAGGACAGCCTTCTCCCAAAACGTCCTGTCAGTCCAGGGCGTAAAGGACTGGAACAGAATACCCACATCAGTGAGGGACAGCACCAGCCTCCCCACATTTAAGCATCAGTTAAAACTGTGGCTGAGGGACTCACAAATATATTATTATGTCTTGTTTTTTGTTTTTTTATGTTTTCCGTTAACATCAACCTGCGAGGGGGGTCTGCAGATGGAAATTAGCCTTAGGCTATAATCTGGCATATTTACATTGGTTAAATGTTCATTAATATGCATTGTACCTCCTTTTAAAACCCAAATAAATAAATAAATACTGAAGTACTCACAATTTTCTATGGTAGACTGTACAGTATGTCAGGCAGGCCCCAGGCCTATCTATTTATCGTTAAAAATAAGAAATTATCTACATTTAATTTATATTTATGTAAACAAGAAATAGATATTGCATTTTACCGTATTATTAAATATATATTTATACCTACTGTAATATAAACCTTTTTATGTGGTCATGTGGTCGGTATCGGGGCCCCCAAGGACTCTCTTGCCTGGGGCCCCAGGGTACCCTTGGAACGCCACTGGTTCTGTCAGTCTATCACATGGATCATGTCAATCATTCTCAGCACGTAGACTTCAATCCCACCTTCATCCAGCAGGGGGCGCTCGAGTGGTTGGACATAGATGAGAGCACAGTGCGTTCACAGGAGGGAGACACTGGAGTGGCTAACGTGGAGCTAGTGTGTGCGGTGCAAAGTGTGAAGTCCAGGCTTAAAATGTCAGGGAAGAGTTTTCGAGTAAGCGACGGGGACTGGATTTGTCCTGATAAAAAGTGAGTAAGACACAGATCTTCGCACAAGCACAGCACTTTAGCATTAAGAGCAGTCATTAGCATTTAGCTCATAGCCTCCAGAGTAGCTAGCGTTCGGCCCAGTAGTGTTTTGTTCGCATTGACCACACCACTTGTACTGCCGCTGGTCTTGTGTGTGCCCCATAATAATATATTAAGAGTTGTATTCCTAAAATTAGATGTATAAAAGTTGAAAGAACCACAATGTTCCCGACAAACATACCATATGATTATTGTTAGCTCAACTCTGCAGGGCTGTGTTCCACGTCGCATATCTGCTCTACATATGATCAGTTTTTAAATACACTTTTGATATGCAGATGTATGAGTTATGTTTTTTTAGGGTAGGCTTGGCGTTTTCTAAATTAAATATCTAGTTGTATGGTAAAAGTAAAGAGCGTTCAGTTGGTTGTTGTTGAATGTTTCCTTCTATTGTTTATTTCCTTCTTTAAAATGCTCTGAATACTTTACCATCAATATGAGACAGTCGACAAGAAGAATTGTGCCATTGCTATACAAAGAGTACATGGAAAAAAATAGTTCAGGATGCTCCTCTGTTCACTAATGTTGGCATTGCATTTACCCTAAAAGCTATTAATACGAATCATCAAGGGGTAAAGAATTTGACTGGACCTAACCAGGAGCCAACAGAGCTGTTACTAAACAAAATATAGTACTCATCTAAAGCCTGTAAACATTGGTCATATTACAAGATGCTGTTTGCTCTCCACAGGTGCGGAAATGTGAACTTTGCGAGGAGAACGAGCTGTAATCGTTGTGGTAGAGGTAAGTTATCCCGCAGATGACGCTTTTTTTATCCATTATTTAAATTGTGTGTGTTCTTTTTCTTTCAGACAAAACCACTGAGGCCAAGATGATGAAAGCTGGAGGGACTGAAATTGGGAAAACCCTGGCTGAAAAAAGCAGAGGACTCTTTAGTGCAAATGACTGGCAGTGTAAAACGTAATCGCTGCATTTCTTCACATAGATTTAAACCATAATCCATTTCATTATAATCTTTGAAACTTCTATTTTCTCCAGATGCGGCAACGTAAACTGGGCCAGACGTTCTGAGTGCAACATGTGTAATACACCCAAATATGCCAAGCTTGAAGAAAGAACAGGTAACTTAATGTTTGATTTTTGTAATTTGATATTAGTTCTACTCAACAGTGGAGTAATATGTTTAATGTTACAGGGAAAGAAAGCCTTAAATCCTACAACGAAGTTTGTCTGTTGTAAATATTTCTTTGTATACATCTTTTCCTGTCAGGTTATGGCGGTGGCTTCAATGAACGAGAAAATGTGGAATATATTGAACGCGAAGAGTCGGATGGAGAGTATGACGAGGTACTGTGTAAAACCCATGTGCTTTTGTCAGATGTAGTTTCTGTTTTGATGAAAGATCTCTTGTTGCAGTTTGGTAGAAAAAAGAAAAAGTTCAGAGGTAAAACTAGCAGCACCTCCTCTAAAGAAGGTGAAAAGAAGGAACCGAAAAAGGAAGCAGCAGTAGCACCACCACCAGAAGAGGAGGAGGAAGATGATGAAGATGGGGACCTGTCGAAATATAAATTAGACGTAAGTTGCAGACGATAAAGACCCTTCAGAACGGTGATGTAAGATGCGTAAAAACTATTTCAACTCTTCAGGATGATGATGAGGAGGAGGATGAAGACGGTGACCTCTCGAAGTACGACTTGGATGCCAGTGACGAGGAGGGGGATAAGGAGACGGAAAAGAAGGAGGAGAAGGAGGTGAAGAAGGGCAGTCGCTCGGGCTCGTCTCGCTCTTCTTCTCGCTCCTCCAGCTCCGCCTCTCGGTCGAGGTCCAGGTAAACGGGTACAGGTCCAAGGGTAACGACGGGCAAAATGTCAGTATCAGCTGTGTGTCTTTGATTGTTGCACCTGCACATTAGTGGTCTGTGTCCATGATAGGATTGATATGTTTTTGTATTTCTTTTCTTCTTTCTGCTCTGGTGTCTTTAGCTTTAGCTGTGTGACATCTTAATCCTATTATTTGGATAGATAGAAAACTGTATATAAACTTCAGAATTAGAAAGCATGCAGAATGATCATTATTCCATTAATTAAATCAAATTGCTCTCAATCAACTCTTCATTGACGTAATCACACGTCCACAAGTAAAATAGTAACATGAAGATGCTTCCACTTGTGACTGCTGTTCAGAGTATATGCACGGTTCTAGACTTGAACCCTGTATGTTTTTATGCTGCAAAATGGTAACTATTGACAAGTGGCAGATGAAGCCACTCGTCTCTTTGCCTCTGTGCTAAGATGATTGGAGAGGGTTTGTTTTGTGTTGCAGGTCCCGCTCTAGAAGCTCGTCCAGCTCCAGGTCTGGCTCTCACTCCAGGTCCCGTTCCAGGTGAATGAGGTGACATGCACTCTCCCTCAGAGAGTGTGTATGTGGGCCTAAAACCCCGCTCAGTCCTTTGGCCAAGTTTTATTTGCTGTTCTAAAACTGGCCACATTATAGCTTATTTAGTTTGCTAATTGGCTGATTTCCAAATAGAAATAGAAAAGTAGAGACTAGTCCTTGGACTAATCAAGCAGCTCTCATCAGTAGAATTTGGTAAACCATAAATTCCTGTCAAACGCATTCATGTTTGTGGTCAATGTTGAGAGCAGTTTGATGAACCCATGCATGTTGAGCTGTCGGTGACCATACTGACCTTTTGCACTGGTTTATCCTTTCACAAGATCCAGCTCCAGGTCTGGAAAAGGCTCATCCCTGAAGGCCTCTCGCTCGCCCTCCTCTTCCCCCGAGAGGACACTCAAACGCAGTCGCTCCCGCTCCTCTTCTGCAGAGAGGAAACGCAAGCGCTCTAGATCCCATTCGTCCGAAAGGTTTGGGTTTATGTGGAATACCACAGTGGCAGAGGTCATACTTAGACATCTGTTGCCTTCTTTTGGCATTATCCCAATTAATTATAAATTGGCATTTTCTGCTATTAACTGTTAATGTGACAATACTGTAGTTTAGCCTCAATAATTAATGTCATTTCATTCAGCTTTCTGACCGTGTACTCCTTCGCTTGTGTTTGTGTTTACAGAAAACGTGGGCTGTCCCCTGGTTCATCAAATTCTGGCTCCAGTTCAAAAAAGAAATAACTTTTAAGAAGCATTCAAACACTCCAGAAAATAAATACCAGTGCATGTTGTGGTGCAGGATATCGAATACTCCCTCAGTACACATATGAACAAGAGCTGTTGACAAATCTGTAACTGTCCAGAAAACACCCAGACAATTCATTATTGTGAATGATTTTCACAAAGTCTTTCTCCTGTGTAGTAGTGTCATTGTAGCGTAAACATCACTTTTTAATGTCAGTGGAATGCTCGATGAGATTTCCCCCCTCCCATTTATTTCACAGATCTTTTTTTAAAGTAAAAAAAGCTGTAGCAATGCAATTTAAAAAAAAAAGGTAAGTATGTTTTTGTTTTATTTTTTTCTCAAAACATAATGCTTTTTTGTTTACCATTGTTATCTTTCTTCAAGGCATATTACATATTTTCTGTGTTTTTACACAAAAAAGCCAATTAAGAAATAAAACTGAAATTTCCCTTTCTGCAATAGTCTTCTACAGTACAGTGTTTATTGGTAAATCATCACTAATGTACACGTGTAAATAAAACCGTTATAACATGCTTGTGTAGCCTATTCATCTTCTTGGAACTGAGCTGATATAATGCTGTGCTACGTATAGATGCCTAAATATAAATATTCAAGTCAACATTTTCTAGAAAAATAAGCGTCAACAATTGTTTGAATGTGACGCTACCATCAGTATTTAACTCTTGTGCAACCCTCAGGTCAAAATTAATTATTAGTGTCTAAATGACCAAGCGCTGGTCAAGTAAGGAAAAAAATTAAACATGACAAAAAAATTCAGCTCAGAGTACTTTTAACTGCGGATGGTATTCAGAATGCAATTGAGTATCTTTTCCGTCATTACCAGCAGATGGCGTCCTATGCAATTCTTCGGTGCATCGCAGAGGTGTGACTTCTATCACATCAGGAGAATCCTCCACGTGCTCATTGAGTCCACATGCAACATTGTATCATAGACTAAATATTAAATTGTATCGGGATTGGGATGGTCTTCTCGCACGTGCCCACTGCGCTACCATTCTCTAGAGTAAGCTGTTGAAGTTCATAGTCTACAATCTCCGACATGAATCCACCAGTCATTGCTCTACATTCTGACATGGTTTCCACTACAGCTTCAAACAAGTGAAGTAGCTGCAGTCAGGTGGAATGAGATGCGCCTTTTGAAGTCCCGCCTCTCGCGCGTAAAGACACGGAGCGCTTTTACGCAGCGCATTGAATCCAGGCGCCTTGGAGCAGCGGAGGTCCATGTCTCTCACTCATGGCGCATCATCTGCACGCGTTTGTCTCTGGCAGCAGGATGACCATGGACGCGTGTGATCCCCTGGAGGACTTCCAGGCGACTATTGGAGACACGCTGAGCTCCAACATGTCCAATATTATCCACACGGAAAATGTCACCAAGAACTCCTGTAGATCCGTTTCTGTCGGATTTCCGATTACAATGATGGTGACTGGGATGGTGGGTAACTCTTTGGCACTTATCCTTGTCTATATCTCTTACAGAAAAAAGGAAAATAAAAGGAAACGATCTTTTTTGCTCTGTATTGGTTCTTTAGCGCTCACAGACCTCTTTGGACAGCTTTTAACCAGTCCAATCGTCATCTCCGTTTACAGAGCCGACTTGAAATGGGAAAGAATTGACTCATCTGGCTTCTTGTGCCCCTTTTTTGGCGTTTGCATGACAACTTTCGGACTGTACGCACTATTCATGGCCAGCGCAATGGCAATAGAAAGAGCCACGGCCATAACCAATCCTCACTGGTACTCCAACCACATGAATACCAGTGTGACTAAACAGACTCTCGCTGTCATATGGTGCCTGGTGTTGCTCTTTGCGCTCTTACCCGTCGTCGGAGTCGGGAAGTATACGCGTCAGTGGCCCGGGACCTGGTGTTTCATCAGCACGGGGGATAGACAGATTCCAGGCAACACGTTTTTTGCCATAACTTTCGCAGCATTTGGGATTTTCGCGCTGCTGGTGACACTTTCTTGTAATGTGGTGACCATAAGAGGCTTGATATTACGCTGTAAAACTAAACATGGAACTTCCAATTCTTCCAAACAGTGGGAAAGGCTCACTACTGAGACTGTTATTCAGTTGTTGGGAATCATGTGCGTCTTGCTGATCTGCTGGTCTCCTTTGCTGGTAAGAGTTTCCCCTGTTACTGCATGTTGTATAGCATCATATTTTCCTCCAGCTCCCCAAGTGATACAATAGCTCCTTTGAAACAGTCATTTTCAATTACAGGGGCAATCCACTTAGTTGGGTCCTGTTGGAAGGGTCTGCTGGTGATGCTGAGGTCATGCATTGTCCGTTACATATGTATTGGTCCCGCAGTGGTTATTAATAGGACTACTGGCCATAGGATAACATGCACAAATGCAGCGTGTGGAACCATCTTTTGTTGAACATTCATGAAAAATCAATATTGAGATTGTGACCATTTTAATTTTCCAGATACAGTCTATTGCATATTTGAACTGAAAAAATCATCTGTCTCCTTGCCATTTGAATATATTTTAAGTAGATTAGGCTTGCAGTTGTAACCTGTACACAAACCTTGGACTTGACGTGCGTTGTGACAGTCTATGGTTGTGACATCGGTATGCTGTGATAAGAGACAGGTTAGCCCATAGACAGTGCAGGCCTATAATGAAAATAAGACAGAGCCATTTCATGATTGCATTGTATTGTGTTGCAAACCATTGCTTTATGATTCTGGCAATGTACAATTCTATCTGAAGAGCACTAAAGCACGTCAGGCGTCTAAGAGGCCCATTTCTTTTGGGTGTTCAGCTTGTGCTTGTGCAAAGCAAATCACGCAGATCACAGTTGCTGGTCGTTGATGCCAAATGAACAAAGAAATTATGTGAAATGTGTTTTATTATTGCACCGCATGTTTTGCAGGTGCTAATGCTAAGGATGATCTCCAGACAAATCTCCTCCCACGAGTGCAACTCCACGGGTGGGGACAGGAGTGTGAACTTGGAGAGAGACTACCAGTTAGACTGTAAGTTTTTCCTGACCGCAATCCGCCTGGCCTCCCTTAACCAGATCCTGGATCCATGGGTGTATCTGCTGCTCAGGGAGATCCTCCTGAGGAAGGTCTGCCTCATGGCCAATGCTGTGTCCAACTGCTCCATAGAGGAAAGAAAAGACACTCGCACTGCGCTGGATGCTTTAAACAAACAGAACCAGGACAACGAGAACCTTCAAAAACCACAGTCAAGTTAAGGGCAGGTGAATGTAGAACTTTGTGTAAATACAAGGAGATCTGCAATGTGTATCTTAGGCAAACGAGTGCTCCAAAACTAACCAGCATGTGAATGCATGAACATTGATAAAAACAGACTTAAAGTTGTTACTGCAATTTCCTCAGTCATATACAGGTTTGCCACAACAATAAGACCATCTTATATATTGTTATGCAACGACCAAAGGATGTAGCCTTATAAACACCAGTGTGTATTCTGACTTCTATCAGAACCAGCAGACCTCTCTGAGCCACCAGAACTCCTCAGAGAAACCAGATCTGGAGGAGCCTTCACACAGCAGATGTCACACATGTCTCCTCCAGAGCTGCAGTTTGGAGATCTCTTTAACTTTTTAGTTTCACTGATTCTGAAACGGTTGCCTTTTTGCCAGTGTGGTGTAATGAAAGGACTGTAAACAGTGAACCTCCAAGGGCCATATTTGTAAATATGTATAAAGCTGTACATTTGTAAATAATAGAACGACATGTTTAAATATAATTTGCAATTTTAGGAAAATGTGCATTATAGGAAATGAGCAAATACAATGCAAAACTTAAGCTATTTATTTTGTTGAAAATAACTTAATGTATTTATTTTTCCATTGTTAAACAGTGTTTTGATCATGAAATAATGGATAATGTTTTTTGTGCCTGTTTGTGTATAATGGCATCAATGGGAATAATAGCACTACCTACCCGGTGATGGCAAAACTGAGGGGCAAAATTAGATAAGTAAGTAAACTGGGCTGATATGGCACCCTATATAATACAATAGTGAATTAAATCTATTCATGCTGTTTACCTATCAATACTGGTTGTATTGTAAAATCAGCAGCAAGTTGAAACTATCTTATGATCATTTGCAGTCTTTCTACATAAAGTTAAAGGGGTGCTCACGTTTTTCTATTGCACCTGTAAGATAAAGCAGATAAGTTTAACATTCCAGGCAACGCAAAAACAGGTGACTACATGCCTGAGCTTTTCATGATCATTGTGTGATGTTGCATTGAAATAAAAATAGTTTCATCCTTTACGTGAACCATCATTATGAATTCTACTCTGCTTCTGCTTTGGTTGCCCCAGCAACAGCTTTGTATACTGTCCAGTGCAGACTTTGCTCTGCCCTGAGCCTGGTCCTGTCTTGACTTTTAAGGTGACAATGATGCTATAGGAAATCTTTACACTAAACGCTTTTGTGAGGATGTTATCGGTGACGAATGACAATTTACACTTGACATTCATTGATTTAAAAGGCGCTGGGGTGAAAGGTCACTCGGCCCATGTGTTGTCTATCTGGACCTTTGACGTTTGTGTTCTGTGTATACTGAACACAATACTGTATGTGTGAACTTATGTCAGAAACCCTAGATTGGACTAGGTTTCTAAAAAAGCTAACCACAAAAAGCAGAAATATGTAGGATCGAGAGCATAACATTTGTTTTATTATCAAGTTTCCCCATGTAATGTAAATATTTAGACTATAGACACAGATTTATCAAATGTCATAGACTCCTTGTCTATTGCAAAACAGTAAAAAACATTCTTAATGAATCTAAATCAGGTTATACAATTATGGATATATAGCCTTGTTAATGACCATGTAATTATCTAATAGTAAAAATCTGAATAATTAAAAGTAAATAATTGGTTTTGTTCAATGCACACTAAATTATTTCTGGTTAGTTTCTGAATAGGCCTTCAATTGTAACATTACATTTTTGTACGTCACATCTGTAAGAGCAGTTGTCTGCCATCTAAACAAAAGTATAAGAATAAGATTGTGCCATTTTTTCAAGTGAAATTATGTTTGTTATAATTGTTCAAATATTGAAATAACAAACAAATGTGAAAGATTTTTACCCTTTTCACCATATTATATGGTATACTAGATGACACTAAGCAGTCATTTTGACGGCTTTTAGTGTTGGAAGCATAATTGCTCAGTATCTGTAAGTAAGTAAGTACATTTTATTTATAGAGCACCTTTCACAGATAAAAATCACAAAGTGTACATGTGTGATCCTCATAGCGGCCTTCATTTTGTGACTTTTTCTGTTTCTAAATGTAGTTTATTTCTGCGCCATTTTATTTTTTTTTAAATCAAATTATCTTTTTTTTTATGTGAGTAACACTGTTTATTTGCCAGCAGTTAGCATTTTGTAGCCTTATCATGTGTTTTCAAATGGACATAACCAGATGCTTATAACCTCAAAAATGTAATCACAAATATTTTGGAGCAAAGTCTGATCTTCTAAAACACCTACAATGTCTTAACCGAAAACCTCCAAAGTGCCAATTTCACGTTCGCCTCCCACTCGCCGTGTTGTAGCCTTTTCAGATGGGGAAAAGGGGTTGTGTAAGAAGACTAGGGACGCAACCAGAGCCATGTAAAGCATCGGCAGCCAAGATTTGCTTATTGCTAGTTTGCTAAGGGAAGCTAGCTCTCGTATGTACGGCAGTATGGCAGGAAAATCACTCACAGATTTGAGCCCTTATTTAGCGTCGTGCTTTCACAATTAAAGTTGTGGGGCTTCGTCACAGACTGTGTGATTACAAAAACAGCGTTGAAGTGTGTTGGCAGTTGGGTTTGGTGGAGGGCAGGAGTGTATTTATTTTCAATTTTTTTTATGGCGCTACTCGGATGCTAATGCTAAGCTAACCTGAATCCGTTACTGCACATTTAAGATTTAAAAAAAAAGCTGATGAAAAGTTGCACTAAATAATCTCCAAATAATTCTGGGAGTTAAATAACAAAGTAAAAAAGTGTCATTGACATGCTAATAACCACAAAAAATGCAGAATACGTCCCCTAATCGGTGCTATATAGTGTCCCTTGAGCGTCAGCAAAAGCGTAGACGTGTTGCATAGTAATAGCCAGGGCTGGACTGGCCATCGGGCGTACCGGGCAATGCCCGAAGGGCCGATGCCCATATTTGGGCCGGTCTGTCTGCCACATACAAAACACATGTTTGTGAAAAGTGTAAATCCGTTGAGAAATGTTTGAGGGGAGCGCGCGTGTCCGCGGGGCACCTGCTGTATGTACTCGAACGGGATTCCACCACCTCAGCGGCCGCAGTGTTCCCGCATCCAGCGGCTCTGAGCTGGACGCAGGAACCGCTCACAACACAACACGGTGAGCGCGTAGCCGCAACGTGACCATGTACCCAAGACCATAAACGCGCACAGGACCATGCATGTCTTTTCGTAATTTGTGCACCCAATAAATACACCGCTGCAGAAAACAGTCCGCGTCTCCCCTCTCCTCTAAATTAAAGCTCGGATACCTAAATTTTCCATTGCATTAAAAGTTCATGTTTGAGCCCAAAAGTAAAATGTTGTGAACAGATTAAACGGATTTAGAACCAGCTAATGGCTGACAATATGCATTTCAGAAATTTTTTACCAATTCTCATCCCTGTAACAAACAATATTGTCTGTGCCCACCTCCCTCACTCTGAGACATGTTTATTACTCTGTTTAATGTAGACTATTGTACTGTATTTTATTGTTGAAACTGGAGAGATCCTGATCCTCTACAGTATATTCTTCCACATACTGTATAAACCAGGGGTCGGCAACCTTTAGTGTCCCTAAAGTGCCAGGCGGCGTGTGCATTATAGACTGTGTGTGCGCATAGATCCCAAAGATAAAGAGAGAGAGTCGATAAGACTGGACTAAGAATGAGAATGAACATTTGCTTTCAGTCAATGAGGAAGGACTGCTTCATGTTTGCGATGTAATGAAAAGTTTTGTTGCAACAGGAGGAACAATGAAGCTTTAAACACTGTTCACTGAAAGATTCATTCATCATAAAGTCAGAGCACCTATTTTCAGACTTCAAATACCTTCGCAAAGACGGTGAAAGAAAAGGCCATTAAGGACATTCAGCTCCAGCAAACTTCAGCCTGTGATGGATATGAACAGACAGTGATGCAGGTGAACTCGGAGACAAAAAGCAGATGTATTTACTGTATTTGTACAATTGGATGAAGGCAAAAAAATGGAAGTTAAACTTAAAGCAGAGTCGTCCCGTGGTGCGTCATTCTCTCCAGGACACGCTGCAATGAAAATACACATTTGATAATCATGAATGGTTTTTATGTGTTTAGCCTTTACTTTGTCATTTAGATATTAGTCTAATATAGCTAATATAGCTAATGTAGCTAATACAGCTTCAGACCCTGTTACCTTCATATAAGCCTTATACAACGCTGTTATTTTTTTTTTTTTTGTCAAATAGGGCTCCTTGAACCTTTTGAGTTGCCTGGGCCGCTAAAAAGGAAAAAATGCCCGGGCCGTTTTTTTGTCCCAGTCCAGCCCTGGTAATAGCCATATGTTTCTGTTGTGTGACCGTGCATCCAGTGCTCGTATTTCACCACCACCACATCAGTTAAAATATACACTCACTTACAGACCAACATCTGGCATTTAATCCATGTAATTAAAACTCTGATTAGATTCATTTGTAAGAGGCCTCAGGATGTGGGTAGTTTTCCGCAGACTCCATCAGCTTTCCACGTGAATGTACAGCTCGATAATTAGGCCCAAACCAGAAAATGTTTGTTCAATTAAATACTGTCTGCAAGATCATTAGTGTAATGGATTTTAACGGCCCTCTTACCTCTGTATACGTCTGCCGCTGCTGGAAAAGCTTTGTGATATTGACCGTTTTTGTTGAATCGTGTCATGTCTCTAATCAGTCGAATAATGTACGCGCAGTTGTGATAATGATTGTGCTTTTGTTGTTATATTTTCTCTCCGGTTGCCTTTAAAACATACAATTCCCAAACTTCTTGAAATAATTTCCTTGTTCTCACGAGGCTTGTTACTTATGGTTTAGGATACAGGTCTATGTCATGACTGAGTGTAATGTCAAAGTTTTTTTCGTGTTTCCTGAAAAATTTGTACGACTTTGATCATCTTAAGAAGGTGAGAAAATTAGCTGGGTCACTGTCAGAAAAAATAAAAATCTCTATAGGTT